CATGCTCCAAAATATATATACAATGATATTCATTCTAGCATTATTTGCAATAGAAAAAGACATAAAAGAAATCAGTAAAGAATAAAATCCATCTATAAACAAAAGATTCAATATACTATCCATGTAATAGAAGATAATGATGCTCCAATTAAGGTAAAAATGGATAAACACATGCATATATATTTATATATGCAAAAATGTTCTTGAAGAGATATATTAGACTAGAAGAATGGTTGATCTGGGAAAGGACAGAAAAACTGGGGACTTGGATTTAGATTTTGGAGTTAGAAGATTTTTCATTATTTTATAGTGTTTGAGTTCATTTTTTACATATTACATGCCTTAATTTTATGATAAACATTAAAAGAAAAATAAAACATAACATGAAGAGTGCTACATTCTAGGATATAAAGAAGAAAATGGCAGCTCAAAGGAGGCTTACTTAAACAAGAAAACCTCACAGTATTAAACTCTGAGTTTAGACTTTAAGGATAGATTAGATTTAGTTGAGTGAAAGAGAGATAAAGCATGCAAAGAAGGGAAGTGGAACGTGGCAGCAGGAGGAAATATTCACTCTAGGAAAACCATCAATAGTTCTAAATTGATGAAAGATAGGGTGGATGTAAGAGACTAGCTAACTGTCAAGTCTCATTTTCCCCAAGGACAGACCGTGCCATGTTAAGGAGTTTAAATTTTATTTTGAGGCAATGGGAAGCAACCTAAAAGTTTATAAAGAAAGTGTAATATGATCGGAATTTGTATTGATATATATTATGATGGCAGAAATGTGGACAATGGGTCGACAAGGGGTAAGTCAGGGAAGAGAAAGACTTGAGCTATAAGACTGCTGTTTTAACCTAGGGCAGATTCTGACACAGTGATAGTGAGGATTAAAAGAGATGGATAATAAGATATTAAGAAAGTAGAATTAAAAGGACTTGGGGTCTTACTTATGAATAATGGAATATATGATATCATTTATTACAATTCACTTTTTTGGCTTGGACAACAGCACCCTTCATTGTCAGTTAAGAAATGTTCAGTTCTGCACAGTTAAAGTTGAGGTACTTGAGGACATTTAAGAGTTGACATCGGAATGCATATGTCTGGAGCATACAAATACAATAGAAGAATAGACTTAATTGTCATAAGAATAAAATTGGTAGCTGAAGTCATCGGAGTATTTAATATCATCATAGGAGGAAGGCTATGGATGGAACCACAACATATAAGGAGTATAATATATACGGTAAGCCCCAACAGGAAGCTAAGAAAGCACTCAGAAAGGTTTCATGAGTGAGTAGTATCATAGAAGCCAAGGGATGACAGTTACAAGAAGGTCACTCTTTCAGAAAAAATCAGAAAGACAGGACCTCAAGTGCGTGGTTGGTATTGATGAACTAGAAGATGGTATTAAGGAACTAGATGATATCTTTGATCACTGTGTTAGAATTGCCTGGTGCTTGTTTGAAGATTAAATTCCTGGTTCTTCTGAACTGAAATTTCTCGGGATGGGAAAAGAGCATATGCATTTTTAATAAAGTCCTCAGTAAACTGTACCCTCAGTTCTGAAATCAACTATGGCAGATGGTAAACTTGTAAAGAACAATGATCTAGTTTGTTCAATTCATTATGTACACATAGTGCTCACCACAGCATCTATTACACAACAGGTCCTCAAGAAATGTTAAAGAATTTAAAGATGAGAGCAATGAATGGATAGATGAACAAAAAACTGAATGAAAGAACTAAACTTTGCCAAAATCTTGGCAAGATTATTGGAGCTTTTATTCTAGTAGGGAGGGGGCAATGCGCAATAAATGTAAACAGATATAAGATACTTCGCAGAGACTGCATTACCTGGGGGAGTCAATGACAGCATTTCTAAGGAAGTGGCATTCGAGTTGTCACTTAAATTACAAAAAGCATTGACCATGAGATGGTCTGAGGAAAAAACATTTCAGGCAGAGGAAAGTCCTAAGAAGAAAAAGAATAATGAAGTATTTTTAAGTAATGAAGAAGCATATGTGGCTATGACTCAATGAATGAGATAGAGACTGGTAGAAAATGGTCCTGAAAAATTGATAGGATGCTCATTACATAGGGTCTCATTGGTTGTGATCTCTCAGGAGTTTAGATGTTATTCTAATTGTAATGAAAAACCATTTAAATTTTAAACAGAATAGTGGTATGATTTCATTTACACTTAAAAAAAATCATTCTGGCATCTGTGTAAATAATGGCTCATAATAGGGCAATGGTGGAAGTAAGTAAGCAGAACAATTAGGGGTTGATGAAGTATTCCCCACAAGAGATGATTATAGTCTGGTGGTAGCAGCAGAGACAGTGAGAAGTGCATGGATTTTGAATATATTCTGGAGACAGAGCAGAAAGATCATGTTAATGGGTTGGATACAGTAGGTGCGGGAGAGGAGTCTAAAGGATTTAGGATTTTAGCCTGTAGGCAGTGAAGACTCATTTAAAGTTTTGAAGTGAGTGAGTGACACAATTTCAGTGAATATATTAGAACAATTATCTTGAGGCAGTAAGCAAAAGTAATTCTTTGAGAAATAAAATAGAATGTAGAGGCAAATTTGAAGATATCTGTAATACCTTAGGCCTGAAGTGACAGGTACCTGAATTAAGGTGATGACAATGGGAATAGCAAAAAGTAATGGATACAAAGACCACAGTCAAGTTTGTTGAGATTTAATTTGTGGTGCCTTTGGGCATTGAAGCTTAGCAGAGAAATATGGACCAGAAAGATTTGGGAGTCATCAGAATAGAGACAGTAATTAAAGCGTGTGAGTGATCGAGATCACACAGAGAAAGTTTGTATAGTAAAAATGGAGCCTAGATTAGAAATTGGCAAAAGAGACTAAAAGTGACTAGATAAAAAATAGGAAAACTAGGAAAGTGTGGCATCATGAATGCCAAAAGAAATATTTCAAAAAGAGTGTTTATAACTGTCAAATAAGGACTAAAAACTATCTACTGGGTTTGATAAAATCTAATTAGAGGTGGAAGGAGAAGCCAGATGCCAGGAATATGAGGCATTTACAACATGAAGAAGTACTGACCATAAGTACAAAAAACACTTCCCAAATTTTTGGATTTGAAACAAGAAGTGCCTAGAGAAGTAACTAGAGTTGAGAAAGGAAATCTTTAGAACGAGAGAGGTGGCATGTTCCAATACTGATGTGAAGGAGTAATAGAGAAAAGATGAAGATATTGAAGGGGGTGGGTTGATTGTAAAGTCTCTAAGAAGACAGGTGTAGATGGGATTCAGAGCACAGGTAGGGGGTCAGCCATATACAGGAGGAGGAACACTTCTCCCCATTACAGGAAGCAAGGATATGTGTGGGCAAAGGTAAATTAGTAGACATCATGCTTGGAGACGGAGAGATTTCTAGTATGATGGCTTCTGTTTTATCTGTGAAGAAATATGTCATCTATTCAAAATGAGGAGAAAGGTAAAAATTTTGAAATTTGAGACTAAAGAAGGCATAAAAAAGCCATTGTGAAGAATGAGTAAAGACTTTTTCTAGAGAAACGTAAGATTGCCAGGCCATGTTGAGGAACTTGCTTAAGTTGAATAAAATGATTTCTGCATTTTTGTGTTTAAACATCCTATGATAATATTCACCTTAATTCATAATCAATATCTTGGCAATTCCAAAACCTTACTTGCCTTTTCTACAAAGAATCTCTACATGCTTGAAATCTGAACTCATAACTTCAAATTCAAGAACGTGTTTACAGAAAGCTCCTTTGTCAAAACCATAGTCTCTCATTTCTGAAGGTCTCTTTCTTTTAACCCTCTAAATTTAACTTCATTATTTATATATGTTGTATTGGCAGAAGCAAAATTAGTCTGACAGTAGTGAACAGATTTGAATGTAGATACAACGCAGGCCTTAGAACAAACTGCCGTCAGAAGACTCCTATCAGAAGGGCCCAGAAAGCAACCATGTCCATTAGATAGACTTAAATAAATGACACCAAATTATTTAGAAATCAAATATAATTTATCACAATTATATTATCATTTCATTTTTATTTTAATCTTTACTATTTCCCTGGCATCTAATAGGTACTTAACAATGCTTAATGAGAGACGGAATTAACTTTTTAGGGATTCCTAGGCATTTGGTACATATTGATCGAAAAACCGTAAAATAATCAAATACAGATAACTGAAAGAAAATGTGAAACCCATAAAGTTAGTGAAAAGTGTAATTGCTGACAGTTCACATCATAGACAGTGCTGATGAATTAAGAGCATAGGAGGGAAAAATGATAACTTATTAAAGGAGATCAGTTCTTTCACAGAAGTTGGGTTATTTTCTTTCTTCTATTATGATTGTGGAATAAAAAAACTCTAATAATTACAGTATTCTAGTTCATGAAACACTGCCATACTATTAATAATATTTGCCTTGAAACTCTAGTAAAATACAACATAGTTAATAAAAAAGAGTGAAAATAACTAAATCTTTCTTTAATGTTTAGAACACATTTAGGATTTGACAATGATAAGGACTAAAAGACTATAACTTGAAATTGGGAGATAATTTCTTTACTATTCTGAAAATTTATTTTCTAATTAGTAAAAGAGGTTAGAATAGATAATCTCTAAAGATAGTTTCCACTCACATTTTTGATGAAAAAAATCTAATTATGAAGACTATCAGATACATTAGGAATATAGAACTTTTTGTATAGCATAGAATGTTCATTTTAATAAAAGTAAACTTTCTAACAGAGCAATTTCTTTTTAAGTATAGTTTGCTTACTCTTTTATAGCTAACAAGCTGATAATAATTTTCACAATTTATTTTAGACATTTTCATACCCATAAGTTTTTTATAAAAACACATCATGAATATATCTGAGTTTTTCTAGAATAAAATTGATTTTATAATTACCATAACATGGCACTTATTTTTTCCACCCTTTACATGCTTATATTCTGAGTAACATGTAGTAGAAATTCTTACCTCTAAGAGATAAGGCTCCATTTGATCCAGGGTTTTTCCAAGATGCTTATTTGGATCTAAACCTGCCAAGAAAGGTTACAAAAATTTTTTAAATAAATATCTAATTGTAAGTTTAAAGACACATTCCCTTCCCTTGGCCTCTCCTCACCTAGGAAACCAGTATGTGTGTGTTTTAAATTGCTTTGATCCTAAAATAAAATGTACTTTGCTAATATTTACTTTCCTATTCCCCTAGAGTAACTGTTTTTCTTGCTCCTGAAAAATAAGTTTCCTTCCAATTCATTTAAATTGTACCATGTCAACTATCAGATGCATTGTTTCAATTCTTTTTTCCTTTTTGAGGACTTATAAGTAGGATAGAAAAAACCAAGTATCATTTCAAAGATATGAAATTAAAAGCCTTGGTATTTTAATTTTTTTTTAAGTCATGGACAATAGTGAGAATTTTCTGATTTACACCTATTTTATCTAAATTTCAAACATCTTACTTAGAAAATAAGAGTAGAAAACAGAACAGTGGTAGACTGTTAGGCCTACATAGTTAATTCACTTAATAGTGGTATATAGACACAGATAATTGTATTATCAAGTTAAATATTTCATTTTGATGGCCAATTGTGTGACAATGTATTTTCCAAGGAAAGACAGACAACTCTGAAAAATCATTATGTACCAATAGCATGTGCAATAGTCTCTGATAAAGATGTTGAACCATATAATGATATATTAGAGTGTATGTAGGTGATGGAGTATAGGTGAATAAGTATGGGCAATAAAAACTCTTCCCACAAACCAAAACTAACCTGCCAGGAAAAAAAAAATCACATGCCACAAGTCGGCTATGAAAGAATTCATTTTAGATATTTACATTCATAATACATGTATGTATTGGCTTAGCTTCATTTAAATAGTTATTTTCATTTATTATTGGTTCAAACCCTTTATTTTATTAATTACACAAACTGATTAATAATTGTCTGCTTCTAGTTGGATGCCTTTTTTATAATTACATATCAGAGTAATAAAAAAGGAGTCAGGTAAAAACTGACTCTTCTGCTGCTGAGTGATAAGTAATGGTAAAGCCAAAAAGCAAACAACTGAGGTTTGTGGCAGATTATTTGAGTCAACTCCTTTCACATCAATCTCATTCTCATGGTGTATTCACTAAAATTAAAATTCCAATTGGCTGGGTGAATACACAGATGAACCAATTGTTAACTTTGTCCAGTTATTCTATTCCCACTAACCATTTTGCAATTCAATGTTTAAAATGAAAAAAGTAAATGAAATACCTTGAAACAAACACCCATGTAACTACTACCTAGATTTAACAAGCATTAACATCTTGACATCTTTCCTCCACAAACTTTTCTTGAAAAAAAAAATACCACAAATACAACAGAATTTCACAGTATCTCTACTCCTAATCAATCTATTTCCCCTACTCCTTTCTACATGGATAATCACTCTTTTAAAATTGGTGAATTACTTCCTAACGATGCTTTTATAATTTTACTATGAATGTTTGTATCCAAAACAATATTTGGTATTGTTCATGCACATTAAATTTTTACATAAATTATATAATTTTCAACTTTTTTTTCCAATTCACAATGTTAATGAGATTTACTGAAATTGATTGCTGTGGGTCTGGTCCATCCATTTTAAGTTGTAGTATATGTCGTTTGATATATCATTACTTATCCATTCTCCAGTGGGTGCGGTTTGTTTCTAATTTCTATGCTGCCACTAGTATTTTCTATACGGCAGCAAATATACTTTTATGTGAGATAGAAGAGAATATATATAATCACCAAGTCTATTAGATATTGCCAAATTGCTCTCCAAAGGAGTATTACCAGTTTGTACTTCCACTGTCATAGAAATAGAGTTCCCATTTCACACACGTAACAATTTAGTGTTGTCAGATTTTTTAATTTTTTTATCTGAGATACACATATATTATGCATTATATATGTATATATAACATGTATATAATATACATATACATTATACATACACAGACATATACACACATACATATAATTGTTTTAGATACTAATTTTAAATTTTCTGATTACTATTAAAAGTAAGCCCTTGTTCATATTTTATTGCCCATTCGTTCAGGTTTCACTTCTGCGAAATGCTTATTAAGACCATTTACCCATCTTTAATGTTGAGTTTTATCTTTTATTTGATGATTCATCATTTTTGATATATTCTGACTGCTATTCCTTCATCATTATGGGTATTATAAATGTCTTCTCAATCAGTGGCTTCTCATCACAGGTTTCTTTTTTTATTGGGGGAGAGTTTTTTGATAAACATAGGCTTTTTATTTTATAGTAGTCAAAAGTATTGTTATTTTAAATGTTTACTTTGTATTATAATAAACCCTTTTCTGCTCAAGGTCATGTTAGTCTCTTATATTTTTTTTTCAGTTTTAAAATTTTACTATTCACATTTAGATATTTAATCCATGCAGAATATACTTTTGGCTATCATATATGGAGTATTATAACTGTATTTCTCATTTATGGATAATAAGTACCGTTTATGGAATCCCTTCCCTACTGATGTACATGCCACCTTTGCCAAACACAACGTTTCTATTTATATGTAAGTCTATGTCATGTCACCTACAATTTACTTTAAAATACTTCAGCATTATCAGTGCAATATGCAAGTGTCTGATGCAAGTGGTTGACAACTAACAGACTTTAATCAAAACTCATAATCCCAGATGTTACAGCTTCTAGTTATCTTTATCTTAGATCAGCAAGGGAAAGTTTGCTAATTAACATATGGCTATTAGAAATTAATTTTCCTTGTGAAATTTCTTTAAACAACAAATTATATAGTACTTAGTATGTGCAAGGCCCTGTTATAAGTGCTCTACAAATGTGAACTAACTGAATTCTCATAACAATCCAAAGGTAGGTATTTAGGTAGGTAAAAAATTAGTATTTATCTCATTGGTAGTTTCATTTGCATGTCTTTATTTTCATATGTTAAATGGTCCCCATTTAACATATGAAAAAATCGAGATGCAGAGAAGTTCAATGACTCTCCAAGGTCACCCACTTCCAAGAGATAAAACCAGGATTCAAACCCAGACAGTCTGGCTGTGTGCAGTCCATGTTGTTAACTACCATACTATGCTGTTTCTCTGTGTTGGGTTAAGGATATTTCCATCTATACCTTATTTGTTAAGATTGAGTTGTTGTTTTTACGATCATACTTGTTAAATCTGCTTCTTAGCGCATGAATGAACACCAAATGTTATACTTTGTCCATACCTATTTAGATGTTTCCCCAACATCTTCACCAATACTAGATATTATTACATTGAAAACTTTTGCCATTCTGATAGAAAAATTAGTATTTATCTCATTGGTAGTTTCACTTGCATGTCTTTATTTTTGTATGATTGAGGCTGAACATGTTTTTCAGAAATTTATGGCCAGATTTCTTATCGTTTTTTAACCATAAATTGATTGTTCATATTCTTTGACCATTTTTCTAATAGACTTCTAATCTTTTTTTAAAATAATACTTTAACACTTGTTCTAAACCAAGGCTATTAGTCCTGTGCTTATCAAATATGTTTTTTCTAGGGTTTTCCATTTGTTTTATGAATTTGCTTAGTGCAGAATACTTTTTTGGTGATTGGTCTTTTATTCTTGATAGATCTTGTCTTATCAAAGTGCCAGCTTTTTGTTGTTGTTTTCAATGTTTCTTCTCCCTTTTCAATTTCATAAATTTCATTCTTACTTTTACCATTTCCTTCTCTCTGCATTTTTGCGTTTATTCAATGGCTTATGTATTTCTAGCTTCTGGTTTTGAAAACTTGATTCATTTATATTTACACATTTCTTATTTTTTAAGTAGAAGAATTAGTATTAAGCTCCTGCCCAAAAAGATTTGGAAAGTGACACTCTTATTGTTATTCAGTTTTCAATATTTTGTCATTTTTATTGAATCATTTAGGATTACTCATCTCAAAACATGCTTATTTTCACTATTTTTGTTGTTTTCTAATTTGATTGCATTGTGGTCAAGACTGTAGTCCATATCGTTATAATTCTTCAAAGTTCAGTAAAGTTCCTTTGTGACTTAGAACATGGTCAAATTTTATGTGTATTCCATTTGTGCTTGGAAAGCATGTTTTTTATCTGTTGAAAGCCAGGTTCTGCAAACCAAACACATAAAATCATAATCACAATTGTTAATTCTGCTGTTCAAATCTTCAATGGCCTTATTAATATTTGGTTTTCATAAACCATCAGTTTCCAATAAAGGGTGGTAAAATCTTCCATTATGATTTTGGTTTTAATAATTTCTTATAATTCTGTCAGTTTTGCTTTATATATTTGACAGCTATGTTATGATATGTATACAAATTCATAATTTCTAATATGTCTTGGTGGGATTATTCCTTTTATCAAGAAGTACTGGCCTTTCGTCTTCAAATATGATTGTTATCTTATATTCTATTTATCGACATTTAACACTCCCTTTCTTTTGTTAATTTTTTCCCATTATTTATTCTCAAATTTTCCATATGCATTTTAGATGCCTCTTTGTAAACTACGCATAACTGAATTTTTAAAAAAATGTATACTATCTTATAAATACAATTTTAAAGACTTGAGATTAACCATGTTACATTTTTTACATTTTATATTATGTCTGGAGTTGGTTCTACAATCTTATTATGGATTGTCTGTTAACTTTTATGTGTTTATTTTCCTTTGCTATTTTTTGCCTCATATTGGATTGAAAAGAATTTTTGTCATTTGTTTTCTCTGATGATTAAGAAGCTGTGACTGATTTTCTACTCTTTCATTAATCACTTGTAATTTTTAACATACATTCAAAACCACAGTATTTTAGTCTAAATGTATTATCTAAAAATTTATGAATCTTAGAATATAAATCTAATAATTTATGTTCAGCATCCCTTTGACTAAGAGAAATTAGCATGTTTTAACCAGACAATAAGGTCTACAATTTCTTATTATTGTGTTAAAGTTCAGTTACATCATTTTGCACAAGAAAA